GCATAAATGACAAATTGAACACCAAAATTTGTGGTCAGTATATTAGTAACAAATCACAATAATACATTTTATTTTTCGTTAATTTCGTGGCAGCTCACAAATAAGGTGCAGACGTCATATCCACAAATCAAACAAATCAGGCCTATTTTGTACAAAATTCTCTACTTGTAACTTTTTCCTAGGTCAGTGTTGCTAACATGATAAATTCCATAGATTTACTCGATCACTCTGGACAGTACCAATTATTACCATATCATGTGTTCAGTCCTCATTGCAACGGTAGCCTAAATTACAGCTTGTGTGCCAACCAAGAAGCCTCGGACAGTAGCCTAAGTTACGACCACATTAGTAATAGAACAGTGATGATGCTTTTGCACCAACCTAAAAAGGGACATAAGATATAATTTTTTCAGAGATCCAGATGCAAAAAAATGCAACTATGATAAAGAAATTCAAAGAGAGCAATGGATTGAGTTAAAATAGACAACATGTCCTGGTCCAATCAATTCATTATATGCCAGACTGGAAAATAGCTCCCAGCTTGGGTATCAGTTTTGATTCTACTCTGCATCTATGATGATTTGCATTCTAATTCACGCATTAGCTTGGGTAAGATTTTGCATGAATCATTCTTTTAAACACACTTACAATTGGCACATGTTTTGTAATAGAAGTCAGACAACTGAGAAATTATAGGATGATAAAAAAAGTAACTAAACAACAACGTAAACAGAAATAGTACAGAAACATCGATCCATTTGGGTCGAACTGTAGACCAGAATCTGTCTGAACATCCAATTTATGTATTTGATTGATGAGAAATGCTAATAGAAAGGGAGAACAATAGCATACCAGTGCATGGAGATGACACACCCACCACGCAGATCAACAAGCCGATCTCCTAAATCCTGATTGCCATAGTTGGGACCACTGTTGGCCGCTTTCTTTGCCGCCGGGGCATGCTGGTGACCCTGGTATCAATTCACGTGTCATAGTCCGTCGCCTGCTCCACAACCCCGTCGCCCGTACCCTAAGGGAACCACTCCAAATCGGCCTTGTACGCCAT